AAACTCAAATAATAGAACCGTGTGCTATGTAGTCGAGAATTACCCACTTGAGAAAGGGGGCGAAAAACACAGCAAAAAAACGGAGCTGCTCAGTCCCCCTCAGAAGCGTAAGGAAACAGAAAAACAACAGACTTTACCGGAGGAGGCAACTCCAACGACATAGCACCCGGTTCGATTATTTGAGTTTTTACGGTATCTATCAGCCCCACCTGTACAGTACTACCGGTATTGACTTTGTTATTTCAAGCTTGATAGTGTTTAGGGGAGGTCGACCCCTCTCTACCGATTAAGATGCCGTCACGGAATACGATACTGGTGTGGCGATAACCTAGCAAATTCGTGCGGCGCTCTGATCGCCCCGCAAGTAACTTGCGTCGAAAGGTAAGATAAACAAACGGCCTAAGTTAAGCGCACAAGAGGAGTCCAATAGCTAAGCCATGATCGGGGAATGACCGTATGAGATAATAACCACGATACCGCAAAATCTCTTGCAATTCATAATCTCTAGTATCCCATGAGCACTATAGTTCTAGCTTGGCAGGTTAACAGGATTGTGGATACACGAGCATTGTACAGGTCAGCGAGATCCAACACACGTGGTGGGCTTATCATGTACCGGTACTCTCCTAGACCGGTAAAACGTTAATCCTGCTCGGGGCCTGACGGTGACAGTGGATTTCACGGAGATTTTTCCTGTACCCTAGCGTCTAGCGGTCGTAAGACAGGGCACGGAACTTTCTATAGTCCAACACCCCTATGATAACACCTGGTCCATCCAACCGCGGACAATCGGGTAGTCTAATGGAACAAGTCCTTTAAAGCAACAATTATCGGAGTAACAAAAAGTAATTATGATATCACTTTTCGCTAGCTTTTTGTTTTGAAATAAAAGATACAGAAAAGGAGGAATTGTAAAAAGAGCTTGTATGCAGGTGAAATGTGTACTTAAAAAATTCGGAAAAGCAGACTGTGATAAATGGTGAGAAGGTGGGGCACTGTCAAGTCTTCCCTGACTCCTAGCGTTCTTTAGTGGGTGCAGGCGGAGAATAGATCTGTCAGTACTCTCCGATACTGGAGAGTTGTGGAAATCACTGAAGAGGAGGCTGTGCAGTGCTTCACCGGTAACAGTAATATTGATGGTGATGGAGAAAGTGAATAGAAAGCAATGCAACCTTGTTCCACCATGAATCTTTCTCTCTGCTCCACCCCTTACTAGATACCTTTCCATCTTGGTCAGCCATAGAAGGGGGTAGAAACTTCAAAATAACAAACAAAGGATGTCAATGTCTACTGCTGTTATTTCTCATGAGTGCCCTAACAGTACGGATATCTTATCTGGGATTATCCCCAGAAACACTATGCAAGCTGTGCTTCAATCAACGGAACAACTATAAGAAAATTCCTACCCACCCTTCCAATGCGAAATCGGCCAAATGAAAGTCCACTGGACTACAGTATTGAACAGGTAAGCAGGAAGGTCGATACCATACACTCTGGTGTTCGGGTTCTGGCATCGCTAGCTCCGTTTGCCGCGGAATGTGTTTCATCACTGGTCCACATTTTATGCCAGTCGCACTATATTACGTGGAGTGCTCTGGATACCAGGGGCGTTCCGAAGCAGACACATGCTGTACTTCGCTCATAAGATTCTACGGGGTGAATAATGCTGCTGGATCCAGCCGATAGATTGGTTTTCTCAGAGAAAGAATGGCATTTACAGCAGGTGGGATCTGATGTAGAGAGAGAGAGAGAGTATCGCTGATAGTTCTTTCATAGAAGAACTCTAGCTCAAGCGGGAAAGTGCAAAGAATGAATTCGTTTACCTGTATTCAAACACTAGTGCTACGGCTGTGTAAAGTGGTAAACACTACCCTGTTTAAGCCATCGGGATTAAGTTTACGCGGACGCTCTGTTTCTGTCATGACCATGCTGTGCTCTACGAACCTCGCGAGATTCTGAGCACTACAACGTTTGCAAACTTTTTTCCTGTCACGATTACTTGGATAGGCTAGTGCCCAATATTTTAAACACGGCTGAATTTTTCCGCGGCTTTCAGGGACACAGATCCAGCTGTCCTTATTCTGCTCGAGCTAGCGCTGATCACTGTGTCGGTACAACGCTAAAAGTGCGTGCACGAGAGTAGGGATAAGAAGGGAAATAATGATGACAGGACAGGAACCCTATGATGCAAGTTGATATGAAGTAATACGGTAACTACGCCAAGGTTCCCGAGACTTGGTAGGACACTAAGCCACCATGGAAACTGAGGGGGGAGTAGGTATTCAGTGTTTATGAACTGAAAACTTGCAGGAAACAAGAAAGGCAGAAGGTGCATGAGTGGAGGAGCCACCTGCGTGGTACGGCTAAATTGGGAGAATAGTTGAGAACGGGGATTTCGGTGGGTGCTCTGCATGCAAGCCGTCTAACTTGGATGGCGACGCGAACTTGAGCGGTGCATATCAGCCACAACAACCTTGACAAATAGCGACTTGAACCGCATTTGGAACCTCACGAAACGATAAGGATGCCAATATCGTAAAAGAATATTGCAGATTAGATTATACCCTTGATAATACTTTAGTTTGTGCTTCGGGTTCCGGTGTTCTGTGTTGAATTATGGCTCCGCCAGGGTTCGCGGGGGTGGCTTAGGATAGTATCGCCGTAGACGTGCATTCCTAGCATGTCAAATACGATTAGCGATATCGGGGATGAAGTGCATGCAGTGGCTTGAGCGATAGATTCGCATGGTGGAATATACCTCTTTTTATTGAAACACAGGTCTCTCTCGATAATCCCGGAGTTATCGCCATTTCCTGAAAGTACTAAACGCTCCGGCCCTTGTTGTGTGTAACTACTCCAGTGTAGCCTGATAAAACCCTCTACCGGTATCTTCGCCCGCCTCCTCGAGAAGAATTAGGGTTTTCCTGATACAGGAAAAGGTCGGCCGGCTAGATATTATGCTTACCCATTCCAAGTATGCCGTGGGCTGACTGTAATCGGACCCTTTGCGACCAGCTCATTTTATCTAGGCTTGGTTCCTCTCGGGGGATGCCAACTGGTGACCACTTGAGATTTTGGTGCAGACAAGGGGTGTAACTAGAGTCTGGCATTCGGTCAGCCCCTAAGAAGAGTGGGCCGGTTTCCGAGGAAAGAGTACAGAATAATATAGCACTCCTTCCTGGGAAAAGCTGTCAAACTTTGTGCAGTTTTCCTTGTTTATGTTTACCGGTTGC